GTTTTCTTCTTTACAGGCGGAGATTGCAGCTCAAAAGAAGAAAGGACTCACACCCGTTAAAAAGGTTGGTTCAACACTTGCAATACCAGATGGATTATTTTCTTTTTTTTTGCTTCAGTAGTTTTTGAAGAAGCCTGGAGTAAAATAAATATGGTCCTCTGTAATTTTTCAGCCAGAAGTCACGTTGTTTGGTCCTCACGATACATCCAGGGTCTCTGAGAGTGACCTCCCCTCCTTTCCCACTGATGGTAAGCCTGATGCTCGTTCATGCTTCTCATCATGATTCTCAATCTATCAATGTTTGATTATATAGTGCCAATTCAAAACATATGTTATCTCAAGACACTTTACAGAAAGCAGGTAAAAGACTGTACTCTTAGTTATAAAATCTACAAAGACCCAACATTAATCAATCATGAGCACTAAACAACATTTAGCCAAGTTGCAGTGTCAGTTTACCCGAAATGACCGTGATCCAGAAAACTTACGTGACATTCAATTAAGCAGTGAGTACAGTATGTTATTCTTCTTTTTTCTAGTCCCTCCATTAAACAACTTTTATACGTGAGGGGAGGAGCCGGCTGGCCGTCCGGCGATGTAAACAAAGTGTAGCTACGGCTCGGAAAGCTTGGAAAGCATCACAGACAGTGGGACTCTGGTGTTACACCCATTGTAGACAGTCATGACTCACAGAGTTGTTTTCAGAGGATATACTTGATTTCTATTACATTTAAGTATGAAAAATCACATATTCTTCCTTTAAGAGGCAGAACCAGACTCATGTTGAACAGACATCTGCCCCATCTGTGTTGAGTTTTAATGTGAAATAGAGGGAGATGAAGGAAGAAGAATTGGGACAAACAGAGCAACAACAATGAATAAGATAACTACAGAAGATAAGATAGATTATTAGCTACAATGTCAGTAATAATGGTTAAAGTATGTGTAGTATTAGCAGTAACAACTGAGTATGTTAGTTAGAGGTTGAAGATGAGCAGCTCTAAGATTCACTGTAATATGTCTATTAATGATAATAGATGTAAGGCTGATTTTAATGGTTGTATAGTGGAGGCCTTAAGACCTGTTTTTTTTGTTTTCAGAACCACCTGTGAAACAAGGGGTGCTCTTTTCAGACGATGAGCACAGGATGGATGTTGATGTACAGAAAACAAGCGGTCTCATGGCATTGGCTAAAATCACACTGTTTGAGGTAGGGATGGAATGTTTTTTTTAATTTGCCTGTCAGTTTCTATTCGCTTATGATACCTAAGATTGTTCTTTTCTTTTTTTTAGGAGATGGAATCACACATTGATGAGGAGGCCCTCCCTGTGCCTCAAATGAAAGCCAGACGTATCATCGAGTCATTCGAAAACCCATTCAGAATGGTACGAGCTGACCACTTATGTATGAGATTACATTTTATGTAACCAGACAAATAGTATTCAACCGCTTTTCTGTGATTTCAGTATTTACCCTCCAGTGATGTGCACATCAGCAAGAACGCCAAGTTTGACCCATCCTCCAAAATTTTCGAGGTTACCAAAAACGCTCCACACAATCATGTTTTTAAAAGCTTTTTTTTGTTTTTTTTTGTCCTCTTGACCGTTTGTTTCACTATTCACATTGGAAAATTGTCAAATTTACAGATCAGTAAAAGATGGAAGCTCCAGAGTATAGAACAGCAACAGAAGGAGATGGAGGAGAAGAAGAAAGCCAAGCAAGACGCAAAAGAACGAGCCAAGAAAGTGTCAGGTAAAAATAGTCTGTCTTGACAAAACCATGTTCCACTTTTTATAGTCATGTTACTTGTTGAATTTAAATGTTGATTTGTACAGAGGAAAGAAAGAAGGCTAAACAGAGCTACCAGGAGTCTCTTCAGAACGTTGCTACAGTTCGCCAGCAAGCAGTGGTGAGTCATTTTGCCCTCTTGTTCTGCTTTTTCCCTCCCTGCTGCTTCATGTTCAGCAGCCTATCAACCTCGCTGCTGACGCACCTGTTAGGGAAAGTAAAAATCCATGAAAATCTTGAGTTTTATTCACCCGAGAGCCTGGTACTGAATATTGAAGACCGTGCTTTAATAGCTATGTTAACCCTCTGCAATGCCCCCCATTTTCTCAAGACATGGCAGATATTTCTCTTTATAAATACAGTGACTCACACACAAGTGAACCACTGCTGCCAGTCTGCAGGAGCAGCATGAAAGTGCTCTTTTTAATATTTTTATCCGTCTCGCGGTGTGTCTGGGGAAGGAGGATGCACCGCGTGGGATTGAAGCATCAGAGACATGTCCTCCTCTCATCAAACACTTCTCTTTCCTCTGAGGGAAGAATAAAAGCTTCTGTCTGCCCAAAAGCCCACTTCTTCTCACTCCATCTCTCTGGGGTATCACTTGGCACCCCTCCTGCTCCATTTCTTATGTACGCTTTTGCCTCCATATGGTGCTTCCTCACTTTTTTTTTGTAATGCTCAGTTAGACGAAAGTCTCAGTGATTCATCTATTAACTTGAAAGAGAACATGCAAAATGGTCATCGTGGTGTGACTGTCCCTGCAGGTGGCACCATTTCCCCTCTTGACTCTTTCTGTGTGAGACTTCAGCCATCAATCGGCAGTGCACACAGTAATGGTTTTCACCACAGTAATCCATTGTATGATGAAGGCTTAAGTGAAATTTGGTTTTTGAGGCGCTCCCTGCTTAAATGACGCACGTTGGCAGCGTCTGATTAGTGGCATGCATTACAGTCAGAAGTGTTGGCAGCAGCACTTGAAAGTAACACTCATCAACCTCAGCTGCCAACTGTAGCAAATATCAGCTCTGTTGGCTAGCTGTCACTTTCAGCCGGCACTTTGGCAGTCACATTTTATCGTCTTGTTTCAGTTTGAAAGACAGATTTGTGATTTTCAAAAGCTTTCACTCCACTAACATGAATTCATATCAAAAAAGATGTTGACTTTGATCAGGCTCTACCCTCATCAGGTTTTTCTATTTTGCCTGCTTCATATTTACCAAGAGGCACTAAAAAAAAAAAGTAATAATAAGTAAGTTCTAATTATGCAAGTTAGATAAATAATTCAAAAAGGTGAAATCGCAAGAAAACATGATTTTAAAGTGTGCAATGATAAAGGTTCTTCGGCACATTAAAACTGCTAATGAGAACGTGTGCATATTAAGAATCGTTCATTTCTTCTAATCAAACGAACATAAAAGGAGTATAAACTACAACAGAAGGAAATGTGTTTTGACCATTAAATGTCATTTTGAAGCCTCGTTACAATTACGAAGGTGACACCTATGTGGGAGTCACGCAGACACCGTCACTAACACCTTTACACCGGGATTCTAAAGCTATATGTGAAAGCATTTTGACTCAACACGCCTTCAGTAAACCCTGTCTCTGGTGTTAATTAATATTCAGATAATATCAGTAGATAGAGTACAATAATGAGACCCTTTAAAGAGGTATTTGATAAAACATTGGTTAAGATGTTTGATCAATACTGTCATGAAGCTGCAGCATAAACCACTCATCTGCTGGCCTGATAACTACAACCCTCTTTTTAATAACTGATAATACAATGTTGACTTGAGGAGATCATACAGTATTTTTTTAATTCAATCGAAGGGTCTGTATGTAGGTGAGTGAGGCAAAAAGAAACATTTCTTCTTCAATCCATACCGCTTATCTCATTTTGGGTCACAGGGGGCTGACGCTGATCCCAGCTGTCCAGATCGCCTGCCAATAACGGGGCTTTAAAGGCAGCGAACAAAAAAAATACTTTTTCATGAATTAATGTTAATATCTCTATAATTCTCTTCAGTCCTTTTCTTTTATGCAATTTAATGGTGCACCATATGTATGGTTAAGGAACTAAAGTATGAACCATATCTGTATGCTCATTTGTAAAACAAAACTGCACACACATACCGGTACTTATTATCCCCATTGATTCCGACACCATTTGTTATTATTGCTGGATCAGAATCAGAAATACTTTCTTGACCCCAGAGGGAAATTCGGTATCATTAACAAAGTTCAAGCAAATGTATTCATGTGTTGCACAGAAATAAATGTCACTGACTTTCTTTAGGAATCTGCAAAAGGAGTGGGACAGAAAAGAGAGAGAGTTGATGGTGAGGTTGGAGAGTTAACTCCCAAACCGAGTAAGAAGCTGATGAAATCTGCCGAGAAGCCCCAGAAAACAGAATCACCTCCCGAAGACAGCTTCAAGCCCTTCGACTACAGTCAGTCAGACCTCAAAGTCTTTGCTGGTATGCATATACAATTTCTTTCCTCATCTTCCTTTGCAGATCATTCATTTATAATCCTATGTGTGTTCACATTTAAAATCAATATTTGCATATTGTTTGTTTGTACAGGTAACAAAGCAAAGGACAACACACAGTTTGATCCAAACCGGCAATCCCAAGATTTTAAGAAAAAGGTATTAAAGAGTTGATTCATTTGACAGTCAAACACAAATATATTTCATGTGTGCTTGGTTAAAATCAATCTTTTATCAAACAGAAAATCAACAAGGGACAAAAGTCCAATTTTGCAGCTGGAAACAGGAGTATGTCATACATGGCTGGAAAATCTGACAGGTAAGCATATTTAGTAAAGAATAAAAAATGTGTTTGCCTCTTCAAAGTCAAACAAATTCTTTGTTTTTCTTTCTTACAGAGGATTCCGGCATAACTGGCCCAAAAGATAAACTCTTTGATCCCCTTTTCCTTTCTTGTTTTACTTTTTTTTCATCCTACAGAAACAGTATTCTCCTTCTTCATTTTCAATTGAAATGAGTTATTTCAAGATTTAATGGTTTTTCTTTTTTTTTTTTATCTGTGGGACCATTTGCCTGTAAATATATGGACACACTGGCCTCTTCATTAAAGATGATTTTAGAGGAAAAGGCTCTTGCCAATTTTGTTTGAATCAAACCAAAAAGGGTTTTAATGAGTGATGGTCGCTTTACATAGAAACCTCTGCCATCAGTGTGTGAATGGGTGTGAATGTGTAGGTGTGACCTGTGGTGTAAAAGCTCTTTGAGTAGTCAGAAGACTAGAAAATAATTATACAAGCTCAAGTCCATTTACCATTTATCACCACTGATCTTCAGGTCATATCTTAAACACACTGAGTAATAAGTAGGGATAACAAATGTGGAGTGCTAACTTTCAAACTTCTAAATATCACCATGTACAGATGTCAGAATGTCTTGAGATGTTTTCAGGTTTGTCAAAGAGTGAGTTTGTATTTACTACTAAAATTTCAAAAAATTGCAAAGATTCTCTTTGAGATATGTGAAGTACGATGAATATGTGCTATAAAGTGAAAATATTCTCAGAAGTGAATGAACACTGTTCACACAGAACAAGTGTGTGTGTGGATATAAGACTATTACATACATGCAAATGTGATTGCCAAATGTCACATTCCAAAAGCATGCATATTTATTGGCTAAATTCTCACTTCATGTTTGACTTCATAGTTTGATGTCATGCTACCATGTACTTTTATACTTAACATTTGTGAAATGTTAAGTATATTTGTGAAACTTTTTAAATTTTTTCTATAATATATCATGCTTTAGAGTTAATGTTTATAAAAATTAAACTACAATAGGCTGAACTTTAGTTGAATTGTTTCTCTCCAGAAATAGAATGACTTGTTATACAGCTTACTAATAGAGGGCTTAACTGCCTTGTTCTCGTTGAAATGGGTTCTTAACTCCTATTTTTCATGCACAGCAGCATTAGAGAACCATGTCTGTTAGAGATAGAGTCATCATGTGCATCTTAAATTGATGTGTACTGCAGACATCCACCAGTGTTATAACTGTCTGCTCTATGAAAGGTTGATGAACCATCTATTTATTTAATGTTGTAGAGAATGGCAGGGAGATGTTCCCTTTAAAGTACTTGTTGTTTTACCCTGAAGAGTTTGACTAGTTTAATTACATCTTTGCTTACATTGTCCCCCTCTAGAACGGTTTCTGTTAGCATTGAGCCCAGCCTTGTGTAAACAGACAAACAAAAAAAGAACAAACATTCACATTTTAAGCCAAACTTTTCTCCTTAACGCGATGTATGTATACAGTATAATGGGGTGTTATAACCAAAAATGATTTATCCATAGTGAGAGAGTATTTAGAGTTTGTTAAAACTCAATTAATGTGTATTAAATAGCACAAATCACTATTCAGCTGATACTGGTTGCTGTAATAAACCATCTTAACAGTTGTTATTTGTTAATTATTTCCCAACACAGTAGACCAGGGCACTCCAGTTTGGATTTAATGTTGTCGCTTATGTGTTTTGATATTGATGGGGATAACAGCCAGATAACTATTTTCAAAGATATACTGCCACTGGCATTTTTTTACAACTGCACCTGAATCAGTTATTATTGTACAAAAACCAGTCTTCCTAATAGTACACCTGTGGCTGTATGAAAGCAGAATTTGTCTGAAAATGTGGCCTTAAGATCACATCCCTTAACTGTTACATTCTACTGCAAAGATGTGCGCCACGTTTCCCTTACCACTTTGTCTAATTTACTTACCTTATTGCTTACTTTACCCCCTGGACATAACAGCCTCTTTGTAAGTAAGAAAACAAATCATGTAAACAAACCTGTAAATGTGTAATATAGAATATAACCACCTTAAAGGCAATGGAGTGGCATTCAGAATTAGTGTGTTAAAAACTACACTAGTAATAAAGTGTACAAGTCAACATTTACCAACTTCCACAAAATACACAAACAAATTTAAAAGTCTTGTTTTGCTTTTTCAATCACCTTTTAGTTTTCAATAAAGGAAATTATCATTTTCAACTCTGGGTTTTTCAAGTTGTCATTGAAATATAAATGTCAGGGCCTTTTTGTCCAAATCAGCTTAAAACTTAAGATATACAATAAGATAAATGTTGCCTTGATAAGTAGGCTACACAAAATTAAGTTGTCAATCACTTTCACTGCATTCATGTTTTTATAGTCTCTTTTGATTTGACATCACATTTTTTTCACGTGTCATTTCAAATTATTTTAAGGAATAGTGGGAAATTAAGTATTCACTTCAAGAAATAATGTAGGCTATAAAGTAGGCTAGTGGATCTATACAATATTTTGAGTTCTGATCATTTAAAAAGTTGTTTGCGAAACTCGTTCCAGCTGGGAACATATGTCATTTTATTACTTAAACAATACAAGGCCTAAATTCAAATTTCAAGTCAAACAACACAAACAGGTATTCCTACATCCTGCCATCCCATTGGCTCGCGTAAATATGAGTAACTGACGTCAGCAGCTTTCTGTTGATTATAAATTGAAGCTTCGGGTCAAGTTGTTCGTCGGCCAATTGTTGCATCTTCGTTGTTACTTGGAAGCGAACATGGATCTCATTAAAGACGGATGGTTTACGGAACTATCCCCGTTATGGCCGGGGCAAGCGGCCAGCCTGGAAGTGGAAGAGCTCCTCTACCACAAGAAATCCAAATATCAAGATGTCCTGGTCTTCAAGAGGTGAGTTTGTAGCAACTTTATAACTCTGATGACACCTGACGATTTCTGTTTTTAGACTTTTTAATGACTAAGAAAGATACCATTCCATTAAAATTAGATATCTGTGTCAAAAAGCAACAAATTGACCAATTAAATCACTTAGATAAATTTCCAAAACGATTTAAAATCCAAGGTGGTTATTTTGAGCATAGCTTTATGAAGACTAACTATATCCGGCAATTTCTCATTGTCTGTTTTGTAATATTTGTGGCACACTCGTCTGGCTTCTGATGTGGCATCCTCTTAAGATATGAATTATAAGGTATATTGAGTTTATTTAGCCCAAGGTTGCAAATGCTTTCAATTGAACCTCTCATACTTCACTTTAATGTCTTTATTCCAGTAAACAATATGGCAATGTCTTGGTGCTGGATGGAGTGATCCAGTGCTCTGAGAGGGATGAGTTTGCATATCAAGAGATGATTGCCAACCTTCCCTTGTACAGCCACCCATGTCCCAAGAAGGTATCAAACACAAATCGATATTTTTCTACATTTAAGGATCTGCAGAATTACAACACTCTCAGCGAGTCATGTTTTCTGTCCTGACTGCCAGAACCTTTCCCTTTACACAGGTGCTGATCATTGGCGGAGGAGATGGCGGTGTAGCAAGGGAAGTTGCGAGACATCCGCTGGTTGAATCGGTGGTCCAGTGTGAGATAGATGAGGTGCGAGAAACACAACTGATTAGATTTATCTTTCTCCAGAAAGCTACAAACATTGTTTATTTGAATGCTTGCTCGTATTAATGTACATTTTGTTTGTTGATCAAGGATGTTATCAATGTAGCAAAGGACTTCCTCCCAGGGATGGCCCAAGGGTTTTACAGTCCCAAGCTCACCCTGCATGTTGGAGACGGCTTTGAATTCATGATGGCGAACCAGGATTCTTTTGACGTCATTATCACGGACTCCTCAGACCCTATCGGTAAGTGCTTTTGTGTTATAACATTTTTATTTGACAAACTGAAATGTAAAACGGACCGATTCTGAGGTCTCTTTTTTTGTTGTAGGACCTGCTGAGTGTTTGTTCCAGGAGCCTTACTATGAGCTTCTGAAGTCATCACTGAAAAGTGATGGGATTCTTTGTTCACAGGGTAAGATATTTAGATATATACACATCATGTTGTTTTTTGTATTCCAACACAGTTTTGAATAAATAATGGTGATTTGAATAACTGATTAACCAAAACTTACCAAGGCCAAAAGGACTGACAGGGAATTAATATGCCTTCTCCTCTGCTCTTGAATCAATCTCTCAGGAGAGTGTCAATGGCTCCATTTGGATCTGATTAAGGAGATGCAAACCTTCTGCAAGAAGCTATTCCCGGTGGTGGACTATGCCTACACATGTGTCCCCAGTTACTCCAGTGGCCAAATTGGATTCATGCTCTGCAGTAAAGATCCTGTAAGTGTGTCAGTCATTCTCTATTGCACCTGATTGTGGTCAGAGTTCCTTTAAGTGCCCCTGGTTTATTCTAAAAGACATGTAGTGCATTAACTTGTTCAGTGTTTCTTGGTGCTCGGTTATATCCGTTAAATGAATATTGTGCCTTCTCTATTTTTAATACAGGACACAAATTTCAGGGAACCAGAGGAATTCCTGTCAAAAGAAGAAGTGGAAGACATGGCATTTAGATATTACAACTCTAATATCCACAAAGCCTCTTTTGTGCTCCCTGAGTTTGCAAGAAAGGTAAATGTTGTTTGAGTAATTTAAGACATTTGATTTGTATGAACTAAGTTCCTTTAAGAGGCTAGAAATGTTAACACTCCTACTTTTCCCTCAATCTCTTCTTGAACATTGACAGGCACTCAGTGACGAATGAACAGCATCAACAGCCCAGCATGTTCATGATCTACCCGAGTCCACAGACCACAGATTTTTTTTAAAAGACCTGTCCTCTAGCACCACTGAGGACAGCAGAGTCCCTCCTTCCAGTCTTATGTACTCTGGATGTTAAAAGTATTTGTGGGATGTTTTTGGTCTAAATAAAAACTCTTTATTTCTCTTACCAACATTGTGTGATGACAAACTTATTGGCTGTGCTGATTCAGAAAAAGCTTTGCTCTTTAAATCTGAATGGGTTCACTGCATCTACACATCATGCAATGTATAAGATACTAAATAAAGTATTGTTATGTTAACAATCCATGAGATCTCTGTACCGGGTATTAACTATCAGTAGTAATCTTGTGCTATAGTAAGCATGTAAAGTGAATCATTGCATTGAATGTCATACTTGAGTCCTCATTTTTTTTATGAGAACTGTAATACATTGGTAATACCTTTATGGTTATTTTTTTCTTTTAATTAATCCACCAACTGTTTTTAAAGGTCATATGCTTTAAATGCATTTTTTCCAGTTCTGGTTTTAAATTTTAATATATGTAAAAGTTGGTGACGTTAAAAAAGGAAAATCCGAGGTGAAGGGAGGAATTGTCAAGAATGGTTCCAACAGCTCAGAAAGGCAGGGGAAAAAACAGATGATGACAGTGATAAATATAAAAACAGCAAAATAATTCATTGTGATGTGAAAATATTGATCACTAGTATAGATAAGAGTAAACATACCTTTCAGTTATTTATGTAGAAATGACTTATAAAGGATATGACTGTTTATGTAGATGTGCTGATATGGCTGGGAGGAATGCACAATAAATTGCATTTGTCTTTTTTATCTTGCAAAAGAGCCGGTAAAAGACCTTCCCCTTTGTTATGTTATGTTACAAAAGAGCAGGTTGTAAAAGACCTTGTGTCTTGTCTCACTGTTTCAGTGCTAGATCCTCCTTATCCAACATTAAAATGTTAAGAGGCCGCTGTTTTGTTGAATGCTTTTGCTCAGTTTTACAAGAGCGTGACTGGAGGCAGTTGGCCTGTCAATCTACAGAGCTGATGAGCTGGGGGCTGATTGTCCTTTCAGGTTTTACATCATTAAGAGCTTCCTTCTTGCATTTAGCTTTTCCAGCCTTTTCAGTATTTCCATTTGTGAATACAGTACTCATGCTCTGTACGTACTTTGGCACTTTAGTGAGTTTACTGAATTTTTTACATTGATTAAAGTCATACTTGTTAAAGCAGCATAATTCATTTAAGTAGGAACTGTTACCAGGTAAAGGCCTAGTAAAATGTTATCCTTGAGTTAAAAAAGCCAAAAGGGCCAACATAACACTTGACTTATAATCAGCAATCCTCCTTTTTTGTGATTAAAATAACTTTGAAGTTAATAAAGTGAGATGAACTAAATAGTTGTACTAACCAGGTCAGTACTAACCAGGGTAAGCCAAGAAAGATATTGTGTACATATATTCTTAATGATAGCCATTCGGTCTTTAGCTTAATATGGTTCACTGCTCTTACTTGTTTATTTTAACAAAGTTACAGACAATCAAACTTAAAGGCCTAATGTAAGTTTAAACACCAATTGAGAATGACCAAGCAGCATCCCTACACGGAGACTAAACCTCTGTTCAAGCTTTAGAAGGAACTTGCAACAGGCTATTTTGCAAGGGCAACAGTGGTACTCAAACAAAAACAAAACCACTGCATCAGGAAAATGATTCTTGTTGTTCCACTCAGGTTATGTGGAAAACGCAGTGATGATTTGTTCAATTGGTGCTTGACTCTTTGTTGTGAAAACGTGTATTACAGTTGTCCAGTTACACTTTAACAACCAAATACATGTTAGTATCTGATGTGATTCAAGAGTTACATTTGCTGCTATTTCACACAGTCAACCCTTCTCATGGTTCTTCAGGTGTTAGTTTGAGCATTGATGTTATTATACCAGCAAGGTGCAAGTGCAACTTCTGTATTCAGCCACAAGATGGCACCAAATAAACTGCTATAGTTGGATCACTATTACACAGTAGACAGATCTTAAGGGAATGCATTTTAATTATACTTTCCCAAACAACCAAATGATCACTTAAAGAATAGCATTTAATATTTTGAAGATGTAGTCAATTAAAATAAACAGCTCATTTGCTCTGCCAAAAAATATCAGTATGTTTTTGCAATGTGCAGTCACTGTCGACCACATTTGTATCAACATCACTTTTACTTCGGTCCTTAAAGGTTAATTAATACAATGTTACTAACTTGCAAAAAATGTAGTCGGCTTTACAGTACATTCATTTCACAACATGGTACTACTTTCAAAGGAAATATACTAAATTAATTAAATAAAGAATCAGCATACTTATTTATGAAGTGGTTATTCTGGTGCATGGTGAGTTGCACTGGCTGTGGTGCATACTACACAAACGGAAATTGAAATGTCTCTGTATTATAGTAATTCAAATAGAAGGTTATCTTTAAAAAATGGCAAAAATGACTGGCTGAATCGCGATGTCCTCCCTAAACCCTGAGCCCTAAACCCTGAGCCCTAAACCCTGAGCCCTGATCCTTACTGACTTTATTAACGTCACCTGGAAAGTGATTGAGTGCATCAGGCTGCTAGGGCTCCAGTGGTTACATACAAATGGGACAGCACTGTGCAACTTCTCTGTAACCATGACTGCATGATTTCATGTAGCAAAAGCTTGTTTTACTTTATTCACTCACAGCCATGGCACTTATAAAAAGTTCTACTCAACATAGGCCTATATATAAATGTCTTCGTTGTGGGAAACATAAAGGATAAGCTTATCTTGTAAATATAACGGGACTCTACGCTCTCTGTTTTTCCTGTTTTTGTTTATAGACTTGCAAAGTGTCTGGTCGGTCACCACGCAGCGCCACTCATGACGTACCCCAGCTCTTCTGGGCCCTTTCCGAATTGTCACAGTTCAGTATGCAGTACGTACTATTCAGTATAGAGTTTCAGTATACTGAACTTTCGTGGTCATTCAGTATGCATTTTTTGGGTCCGCGCAGTATACTGAACATTTCAGTATGGATACTAACTTCCGGGATCCATGCAGTATGGATTGGATGCGTGCTTTCAGGAAATAAATTGTGTTTTACCACCCATAATGATGTGCGAAATTTCACGTAAATCGGCACGTCACGTGCGCCTCCAAATGAAAACAAACGAGCGTGGATTAATAGAATACATTTTTAATCTAGAGTTAAAGTCCCGACTGAAATCACTACTTTTAATTAACAACAGAAAATATAACAAATGTCTGCATTATTATAAAACCTTTCCCTCTCTATTTAAATAATAATTTCACTATTTAAATGTGTCTTTATTGGTTTATTTTACTTTATATTCCGTATCTTACTGTCTTTCATTTGTACTTTTCTTTATGTACTGTATGTGATTTAGTTAATTAATCTGTCTTTTACTTGATTTACATTGTAATATTGTTTTTTTTTTTTTTTTTTACCTGACTGTATACGCGCATTACTCTTCTTGAATAAAGCTAAACAAAAAAAACCGGGTGAATGCGGCCGATTCGGGTAACGTAAATGACGTCACTTCCATACTGAATCAATCAGACGAAGTAGGCACAAATATCTGCCTACTGTGTGTGCATACTGAATAGTAGGTACTAACAGTATACAGCACGGATAGTACGTACTGCCTACTGCCTACTGCCTACTGAAAGATTGAGTATGTACTTGGCAATTCGGATACGGCCCTTGTTTCCTAGTTTGCGCATGCGCATCGTTACGTTAACGTGGTCTAGCTAAAGTTTCACGTGGGCTACAGCCAGCTACGGGGCTCGTTCAGAGGCGGGGCGATGCTCTTACGCTGGGAGTGTAAAGTCAAACAAACTATACACGATGCGGGAGGTCCTGCCACCCCATTGGCTCTAACAACAGTCAGTCACCGACGTCAGCAGCCTGCCATTTGTTACCATATGAGACATCACGTTTCGCTGTTAGAAAACGGTGAAGTGTCAGATCTTTGTCGTAAGTTGCCCTCATCGCCACACTTTGTACACACACTTACTGGTTCCTTTTTGGCTGCTAGTAGCCAACATGGACCACATTAAAGATGGATGGTTTACAGAAACGTGTACGTTATGGCCAGGGCAAGCAATGAGCCTCCAAGTGGAAGAGGTCCTCTACCGTAAGAAGTCGAAATTTCAAGATGTTATGGTTTTCAAGAGGTGAGTAATTCTAGCATCACAACTTTGCTAACGTAGCTAGCTATCGCGGTTGTAGAGTTACAAAAAAAAAAAAAAATGAATGAGTAATCCGAATCTCGTGGGGTCATGAGAAGTTTCTTCATCTGACTTGAGTTGTTGCCTCAAGTTTTGAGCTAACAACCAAACTAGCTAGGTAGCAAATGAACGACATGGATGATGAGGTTTTTGGAAGGATAAGCGCCATCTCTGGGATGAATTACACATTTTGCTCTCACTGACAAGTTAAAAGGAATCATGGCAACATTTAGTAACTCGGCTAAGTTGACATGGCTCGATGTAGCTGCAGGGCGTTAAAGCTTGCCACTGCGCCTCTTCTTCACAGCAAAACCTATGGCAATGTGTTGGTGCTGGATGGAGTGATCCAGTGCACAGAGCGAGACGAGTTTGCATATCAAGAGATGATTGCCAACCTGCCCTTATTCAGCCACCCATGTCCCAAGAAGGTAGGTCCTGTTGTAGGGTGTGTTCATAGAGCTGCAGTATTGCCACACACACACTGAATGACACAGTCTTGACAGTCTGCACATTTCCTCATTTACAGGTCCTGATTATTGGAGGAGGAGACGGTGGTGTGCTCAGGGAAGTCGTGAAGAATTCTCTGGTGGAATCTGTGGTTATGTGTGAAATAGACGAGGTACAGAACACACAGATGTAACTTCTTATGAGAGTCCCACTCTACCCTGGCTTTGAGTAATGTCAAATTGTATTGATGTTGTTGTTGTTGTTGTTGTGTAGGATGTCATCAACGTATCAAAGAAGTACCTCCCAGGGATGGCCAAAGGGTTTTTCAGCCCCAAGCTCACCCTCCATGTTGGAGACGGTTTTGAATTCATGAAGCAGAACCAGGATGCCTTTGACATCATTATTACGGATTCCTCAGACCCCGTTGGCAAGTGCAACTCAACATGTTACTTTCTGCATGCTGTAACTTGAGGCAGTCTTATTCTGACTTTGTTTTTTTTGCGGCAGGACCTGCTGAGAGTTTGTTCAAGGAGTCTTACTATCAACTGATGAAAGCAGCACTGAGAAGCGATGGAATACTTTGTTCCCAGGGTAGCTTCTTTTGACATCACATCATTGTGTTAGCAGCTGAATTAACAACCCTGTAACTATTTAACCTGTTACCTGCTGTTTTCAAGTCTACAAAAAAAAAAAGAGAAATAGTCATGGATTTTTTTGAGGAGTAATGTTTTCATTTTTACAGTACGTCTCCCGGCCAATTGTCGATAGAACAGAACAAATCAGAAAGGAAATGAACGTACCCTTTTCTCTGCTCTTGAATCAATCTCTCAGGAGAGTGTCAGTGGCTCCATTTGGAGCTGATAAAGGAGATGCAAACCTTCTGCAAGACCCTATTCCCTGTGGTGGATTATGCCTATGGCACAATCCCAACCTATCCCAGTGGCCAAATTGGATTCATGCTGTGCAGTAAAAATCCTGTAAGTGTGCCAGTCATTGTCTATTTGCCACCCATTACATACCTGATTGCTGTTAGATTGCCTCTGGTTTATTTTAAAACTACTCTGTAGCACAATAACCTTTACCATTTACCCCATTGATTGGTAATGCCCATCAAATGACTGATGTGCCTCTTCTGTTTTTTGAATAGGAGACAAATTTCAAGGAGCCAGTGAACGTCTTGTCAAAAGCAGAAATGGAAAATATGAGCCTTAAATATTACAACCCTGAAATTCACAAAGCATCGTTCGTTCTCCCTGAGTTTGCAAGAAAGGTAAAAGTTGTTTGACTCTTTCAGATTTACCCTTCTGTTAAGTTAGTACGACAGTGCAAATTAAAACTGCTTTGCCTCTATTTACGCTGCGTCTTCTTTACCATGACAGGTACTGAATGATGCATGACCATGCACAGCCCTCGATGTTCACGGATACCACAGACAAACCCCCCCCCTGTCCTGAGGCGTCGGCACCTCCTTAACATGTTCAGCGCCACTGACGAGAGAAGCCTCTTAAAGATTTTATAATGAGGGCAAACAATAATCAGTGAGTTTGAGCTTGGCGATATATTAAGAGAAAGTGTCCGTTCATTCAGATGTTTTCTTCCTTCAGTCTGACATGCTCTGGGTGTTAATTTATTTACAGGATGTATTTGGTTTGTCATTTTTACTCTGTAAATGTCTTATCAGCATTTTGTGGAGAGCAGTTTAATGAGCTGGGCTGAGTGAGAAGAACGTTGCCGTCAAACCTGACCTCACACTGAAACTGTGTACTGTCTATTAGATTCACTGCATCTACGTATTATGCAATATATTACATACTATATAGGGATTGTATATGTAATCTATTGCCGTACTTTTATTTGTAACGTTTAATTGCAACCTTTAGTCATAGGAAAACACACACATGCCATCTGTTATGACTGTATATCCAGATAAATAATGTGTCCTCTACAAATGAACCCTATAGTGCCTAAAATTGGTTGTTCCTTGATAAAGAAAAGTTGCTCTGTGTCTTATCAGCGTGTTCGGAAAACAAGTTGATTAAATAACCTCTCTGAGCTGTCACCAACTGAACATGAAGGAATTCTGACTCATGATTCTGTTGAGGCTCTTCTCTTGGCCATCACTTTGATTCAGGAGAGTTCAATGTAATGATATTAATAATGAAATTAAGTATAGCATTGGAGCTCGGCGATGCAAGAAAGTGTATTTAAAATGTGAATTCATTATGCAACCAGAACTTTCAGTATTGTCTATTGACTACCAGTAGTGAGCTTGTACTGTCGGAAGCATGTATGCCGAAATCATTACACGGTCAAAATCTTTAAGTTACCTCTTTCGTTGTCAATCCACATTGAATGTTTGTTGAGAAATTGTGTCGTACCTGAGCGATGATTTGTGTTTTTATAAGAACTGTAATAAATTGGTAACATAAGACAGTTCATTTGAGATCGGTGTCTAATCTATTACTCACAGGCTTTTTCTTCTTTATAACAAACAAGGTACAGAACTGAATTTCAGGTCAGTGTTAGTAAGTGAAATTTAAATATCTTCACTATCTTATTAAAGGGCTGTGAAAGAGTCATATGTTTATCATTTTGTAAGGTCTTTCTCCCCTTTTCCAAAACGTCTTTTTTTGGTTTTATCTGTACTAAGTGCACGCAAACAAAGGTTAATATGTGATTTATTTCAGTAGATGTTTTAGCTGCTGTTCCCTGCACATGGTTAACCATATGAACACTTCCATGTGCAGTTTTTGTATTCAGGCACAAGGTGGCACCCTTTAAACTCTTATACACATGAAAGCCAGTTTCTTAGATTGTACAAGTGTGAAGGCATGCCTTTAAACTCCACTGTTCACTACAGTATTTGAGGTTTCCTTTTAAATTGAATGAAAAGCCCCTCGGCTCTATTACATTGTTCAGGTCGGTCAATGATTCAGCTGTTTGAAGTGTCCTTGTTGCCCTCAGTTGCATCAACTTTCTTGTTGTGAAGACCTCAGTCGTCACTGGTTTTACATTAGAATGTGTACAGGCAGCACAATGCAGCACATTATTCCTGTACCGCCTACACAGTGTGTGACGTGAGCAGACCTTGCGCTACAAGGTTGTAAGTATTCATTGTTTTTCACAGTTTGGTGCAACAAAAAGCGCAGATATTGAATGTTTTTCAATGACCCCATAGAAGGAGTTCCCATAAATATTTAATTTATATTTTTGCTATGACGTGTACGCTACAACAGAGCTTTTAGGGCAGTGTATCACTTATCTCTATTTAATATATATTCAAGTTCAAGTGAAATGCTTGGAGGTAAATATACAGATATACCTCAGTACTACACACTAAGTCACCAGTTGATTTTAAACTCTGTTACCTTTTATAAAGTTGTAAAGGCTGTGCTAGAGGTCATACTTAAAGAATGTTTTGCCAAAATGTAGACTTCCATTCCCATTAGTATTAAATCTGGAAAAATCTACAAGTCTTCTGTAGGCTGGACTGCATGATGCCTCTTTAAGGAGGCCTGTTATTGTACATTCTTTAAACACACTTAATCCCCAAGTGTGCCGTTTCTACAGTCAGCTTATTTTTGGATTGGCTCAAGGCCTTCTTCAGATCAGCAGTGTATGAAGAAAATGACTCAAACACTGTATTGATGGCACGACAAATCCATTAGAATCAACCAAACCAACTGGGGTAAAAGAACTTTATGTTCCCTGCCAGTGGCACCATCTAAAAGACATCACAACAACAAGTAACTCTGTATAACTTCAGCTTTTTCAGTGAGATTGTCCTGGAGGTTGATTGCAACTTTGCAAACTTTAGAAACAATTTTCTTCTGAAAGTTTGTTTGTAATCAGTGCTCTATAATGAGTTTTTCTAAGGAGTTTACCTCTTGAGAACATTTTAATTTGGTTTTGTAGTACTTGAGGAGAAGCTCAATAACACCTCTCTGTTTTAAGCTGTGGGCTACATTGAGTGATATTTTTATACATGTAAAAAAGGCTTCAATATCTAGAACTCAGACACATGAATAAGTCTTTATAAAATGTGCACTTCTAACTTCTAACTAGCTGAATGTAATCAGCTTAGCCTGAATCTGATATTATGTCTAACTGGAGCAGGTTTTACTTGCATACTGATTATTCCCTACAGAACATTATGAGTCTCGTTTCTTTGTGAATTGAGTTGGGATAAAGTGTTTTTGTGATTCCTTTAGGGGCTTTTGGACAGCTGAAGATAGACAGGACATGTGGGAAGAGAGAATTGGGGATGGCATGCACCAAATAGTGTCAGGATCTGGAGTTAAACCTGGGACCAGTGAGAGGAGGGCTATAGCCACTGATCACGGGGCTCCCGCTCAACTAACTGAACTTTATTCAGCACCCTGAGTCGGGATATAGTTTAACAACTTTGACAAAAAATATTTGTTTGACAAGCAGCATACTTTTTGACCTCTGGGTGAAATCCCACATTCTGTCTTTTCCTGATCATAGCATCTGTCCTGTATCAAAGGCTACAGTACGTAAAATGTATTTTGTAGCACACGTTCCACAGAACAATAGCACAAAGTGCTTCATGAGACTTCAACTTTGAAAGTTGAGTCAAATACTGTGTATGTGTTATTAGTGGGTCTCTTCCTTTTGGAAGGGTGGCCACCAAGCTCAGTGTTACAGGGGCACAGGCCCCTGTTGGCCCCTGCCTAGAACCGCCCATGCATGGGGGTTCTGTGCAGCGTGAGGGCAGCATCCGTGCTTCCTGTGGACGATAGGAGCCCCATCCACGTGAACAGGGTATGAAGGATGATTTTTATAGTTCATATGTAGTTTCAGGGTCATTTTTATTGTAGATGTTGTTATTGTAAAATTTTAATGTTGACTTTTAAAGTTGGAATAATATAATTTTCAAAAGAATGCTTGTGAAATAAGAAAAGAGAATTTGATACATTGCACCTAAAATATTTGTTTTCATTCATTGTGTAAACGTCATGCTGTTTACAATAAAAACAATAGTTCTTCATATTGAGCTTGCTATTAGTATGTTAAATCTGTATTATTATATCATACAGTACTTATATTTTCAAAAATAGTTGCTATTCTTGTGAGGGGGAAGAGAGTGAATTTAATTGAATTTGCAATTATTTTATGCCCAAAATAGATTTCCATTCATTTTTTAAATGTATACTTATATATATATATATGTATACAGTATATACCCTGAGTCGGGATATAGTTTAACCTCTTTGAAAAAAATTATTTGTTTGACAAGCAGCATGCTTTTGACCTCTGGGTGAAATCTCACATTTGTCTTTTCCTGCTCATAACAGCTGTCCACAATCAAATGCCGCAATAGGTAAAATGTATTTTGTAGCACATGTTCCATAGAACATTAGCACAAAGTGCTTCACGAGACTTCAACTTTGAAAGTTGTCAACAAAATCAATGGAAACAATATAAAGTCAAACATAAACAATCCCAAACAGTAATCAATCAAATAAAATTTAACAAAAAAAATCAAACCACGTTTGCTGATGTAGCTCAGAATCACAGCAAAAGTTAAGCCTGTCTCATGAAACACGGCAGAAAGAGCAGATCATAGCCAGACTTATTGTAATTATGTTGATGAACCCAACATAATCCACCAAGAAAAAAACACAACAGTGAAAAGGAGAAACTTATTTTGAACAGGATGAAACCTCTAAAATGTACTGTGCAGAGAAAGTTCCACTGAGGGAGAGGTAGAAAGAAAGAGATGAAGACAAACAATCAGACAGACAAGAAGAAGAACACTAAAGTAACAAATAGAACAACAGATAATATCATCCTAGCAATAAATCAATTATAGTGCTAAATTGGAAGAAAAAAAACTATCACATAACACCGACATCTACACTGTACTCTTGGTTATATTATTTACAAAGACCCATTAATCCACCATGATCAAAGCACTCAGGGCAAGGAAGACCTTTTTCAAAATCCTCGAGCAGAAACAGACTGATGGTTGATAGCGATCTGCATCAATGGAGAGGGCTGAAAAGTGGGATAGAGGGAGAGAATAGATCTAAACACGTAGTTTTTATTGCACATAACGTAGAGCAAAGCTCTCTGTCGCACACTGAATAGCTGGGGAAGAATAGCTTCTTCTTTTTTAACGACTATGTTTACCTCACTCGATTGGTGCAGTGCATTTCCTAAAGACACTGCCTCAAGTCATGGTGAGTGTCAGACTGTTCAATTCTAATCTGCAGGTGTCGGAGCTGCATTAAAGTATAGTGACAGGAATCAGATGCTGATAAAAGTACTCTGCCAAACAATGGGAAGGTAAATGAATGATAAGTCATCTTGTGATAAGTTGGTTTGTTATCCGTGGTTTTTGATAGCTACCACAGGAGTGTTAAGTTGACAGGTGATGAGTTGAGGAATTGCTTGTCAACCTGCATCAGGGGGTCTAGTTCCACATCATCCATCCTAACAGTCAATGCATTAGTGCCATGTTGATGTCAGAACCTGATTTTAGCCCTGTGACGTCTTGTCTGCTGCAGATGTTGCCTCTGGTGAATCGCATGAATTCAACCACCTCCCAATTTGTCAAAAAGGTTAAGTGTTGAACGTTTCCATTTGTTCTGTCCTGAACCCTTCATCTCCCCTCCTCTTCCATACTCACGTAGACACATACGCCCACCTCAGTCCGTCATACGTACACCCACCACCCTCTACGTCAGTGGTGGAGGAGTAAGGGGGAGAGGCGTATAAAAGAGTGAGGGACTTTGGAGGTAGAGCAGAAGAAACATCAGTGGTTTCCAGCATCAAACATCAGTTGTGACCAGCAGACTCCAAACAAGTGCACTGCACTTTCTCCACCACTCTCCTGCCTCTCTCTCTCTCACACACACTCACACTCCTGTGTCTGTGAGTCTCCTGCTCTTGTGACTGTAACTCCGGTCTGTCACCTGCTCTCCTGTCACAGCATGCAGCTCCTGGTGGTGTTAGCAGCTCTCATGGGGGTTCTGTGCAGCGTGAGGGCAGCATCCGTGCTTCCTGTGGACGATAGGAGCCCCATCCACGTGAACAGGGTATGAAGGATGATTTTTATAGTTCATATGTAGTTTCAGGATAATTTTTATTGTAGATGTTATTATTGTAAAATTTTAACGTTGACTTTAGTAAAAAAATAAAAATAAAAAAAAGTTGGAATAATATAATTTTCAAAAGAATGATTGTGAAATAAGAAAATCAAATTTGATACATTGCACCTAAAATATTTGTTTTAATTCATTGTGTAAATGTCATGCTGTTCACAATAAGAACAATAGTTCTTCATATTTAGCTTGCTATTAATATGTTAAATCTGTATTACTTTATCATAGCGTAATTATATTTTCAAAAATAGTGGCTATTCTTGTGAGGGGGAAGAGAGTGAATTTCATTGAATTTGCATTTATTTTATACCCAAAAATCATTTCAATTCATCTTTTTAATTTATACAATATAGAAAAGAAGGAAAACTCAATATTTAAGTTTAAGATGTTGAAGTGTCACATTTTCCAATGATCTCATCTTTTTAATATGTTTTCTGTCTTATCTTTTTTTTTCTTCAGGAGCTGAGCAAAGAGCGCAAAGAGCTGATCCTGAAGCTGGTGTCGGGCTTGTTGGACGGCGCTCTTGACACCAACATGCTGCCGGATGAGGTGAACCACATGGATCTGGAGGAGCCGCTGGAGTCTCGTCTGGAGGAGAGGGCTGTCTACAACCGGTTATCACTGCCTCAGCGTGACCGCAAAGCCCCCTGTAAAAACTTCTTCTGGAAAACGTTCACCTCCTGCTAACAGAGCACGATGCAAATAAAAGCAACGGGACCTGCGTGTCGACTGTACGCCTCCTCTCCCTCATGAACTGTAGTAGACCTCAGCTGTACATACCTTATCTACAACTGTCAAACTCAGCATCCATGGACTTCACTGAGACAGTGTGGCTGTTTAAATATTCATTATATATGTATCTATTTATCTATACAATGTATGTATTTATGTATGTCTTTAAGGGTCAATAATAAAGCATGGATATAATGTTTGACATTGTTATCACTCTGAATCGCTTTTGTAAAAAAAGAAATCACTATCAATGCAAAGGCACCAAAATTGATGCATCCATTACAAATGTGTATTACAACTTTTATTTCAATTAAAAAATATTTTATCATTTTTTTACTCAAATATCTTTAGATATACAATAAATAAATGGGTTGCACTTGTGAAAGGCACCATGAAAATACAGACACATTTCACTTTTTCAAAAGCCAATCAAGCAGCATTCCTGCCTCTTTCCCCCCAATGCTGCCTTTAAAAAGAAATGCATCAGTTTTTAGATTGAGTATGTGACTTATTATTTTGCACTTGATTCCATATGATTGTGTTTCGAGTTAACAGGCAAAGAACAATACTAAGTATGATACAAATTGGACATTGAACATTTTCAATCTTCAGTGGCGACAAAGTAAGAATAAATGTGCTGCAATAAGAATTAGAAATAAATAGTTTAGCATTCATTTATGAACCAAAAATATACAACTGAAAATAATAAAAATAAGACAATATAATATAATATTGTTTTGTCCTAAAGCCTTGCAATTATATAAAAAAGATATATTATTTAGAAAATTTGATGGCAGTTTGTGGTCCTTATTCATTCCTAGTCACAAGTTGAGGCATATGCCTCAGTGACTCACAGGCTGTTAAACATGTCAGTCGTATATGTCAGTGTATAATAATTTACACGCTTCCTCCAAAATCCTTCAATGCTGTGATATGAAGGTAGCATACAGTACTTACTGAAAGTTGGAAAGGTGAAAACAATCATAAGTCTATAAGGTTAAGTGTTGGTTAGTAGTGGGTAAAAGTCTGACCTAAGTGTTTGATAGTGAAAACACAACAGGGCTACTGCGTGTTCAAATGATGAAGTACTCCCCGATATGACCCTCTCAACGTAGTTTTTCGATTCTCGCAGCAGCCTAGACTCAATCAGTGACACTGTAATTACCACATGCTCTCATAGCCTCCCAGACTTTACAGCCGATATGACATGTGTTTTATAACCACTTACTGAGATGCAGCATGAAGGGCTGGATGACGAAAATCTAATTTCTATTTTCAAGTGGGGCTCACAGTCCTTTGTAGTGACCTTATGTATCGTGTATTTGGTACATGACATGAAGGTGAAGTATCCTGTTTGAGCAAAAGCAGTTGTGGTGTTTTTGTGGTTTTCAACAAAGGGAACATCATACTGTTAAAAAAAGATCCAACAATTAAACAACACGCTTCATTAAGGACTGCAGAGTAATCATAAGAGCATATAGAATCACATGCACATACATATATCAAAACATACACTGTATGTATACCTAGAAGATAAACACAATATTTGATACTTTACCGTATTGCTATATGTTTTAGTAGGCTATATTCCTTATACAATTGACTGTTTTTTAATCTCATTGCAAAAGCCAGCTAATATTCATCACAGCTCCTTTGGTACTGTCCCTCCTTGTGCTGAGGAATTGTGGAGAGGTATTGTGGTATTTGCCCTCCTCACACCGCACAGCATAGTGTAGCACAGAAATTACCTTCCTTCTTCAGACAAAATTTTTGTTTTGTTTTTCAACCACCCCCCTGGTAAATGCTCTGTTTGGCGTTTCCTGCCGGTAAAGTAGCCTCATTAGGCTTGTTGCTCAGAAGAGCTTTTGCCCAGCACAATAATCCAATGAAAGACTAATTGTGTGAAATGTTAGAATTCTTACCTACTTAAACTTGAATCAAACTGACTTGGATACCCACAGACCCCACAAATACTTTTTGACATATCTGTAAGGTGCTTAAACGTATCGTTATATTCTTGATTTTTAGTATTAATAGTTTGTCCCAAAATATTTCACACACTTCTTTGGTTTCAACTAATTCAGTTTTTCGCAATTTGAATAAGTGGTGATTATTTAGGTCATGGTTGGGTCCTAATCCCAAAATATAAAGTCAGGGCCAATCAGTTAGTAGATTTGCAGGAAAAGACAACAGTAAAGCAGACAAAACACAAATAGCAGCAACTTTCTTATTCTGGTAAAAAAAAGAAAAAAGTTCTACCCCTCACCCCATACCCACTCCTCCAAAAAATAATAGAAAAAAAACTGACTGTACAATGAATACTGTTTTGAGAGGAGTTAGAGAGAGTGATGGTTGTCTCTTAGGAATCATTAGGGAGTCTTTGTCTGTTATATATGTCTGTAGGATACCATCAGCCCATGGTAATCCTGCACAGTCAGTGTAGGAGCCATCAATGTAAGTTGATTGTGTAGTTGGTCTCATGGCTTGTTTACTGATTTGTTGATTGTTCACCATCTTCTTGTTACTGGTGGTGGGTGTGTTCACCGGAAACCTCGTGGTGATGGCAGTGATTATATGGGCCCGCAGTCACCTGGTCATCTGGTTTTGGTTTAGATGGAGAGAGGGGGTGAGGGTGGGAGCAGAACATTTATGTTGACCGCCACACTTCACTGCGATTTCAAGTTGATTTTACGACCCGGTAACTGAGGTTGTAGTTTGTTGTGTTTTTGGAAGAATAAATGATGGATCTGGATGTCATTCATAATGACAGCGCGTCACAGTTTCACTCCTGTGTTTAGTCCCTCGTGGCACTCTTTTTTTGACGACCTGAAAAGGCCAATATAGCCTCAATACAGAGTAAAGGGAAAGCACTGAGTAGTCCATATACCCTCCTCTTAAATGGGCTCCTGTTTTATTGTACTCCCCAACAGGATGAATAGAAGATAATGACATGTAAATGTGTCTGTTTCACAGGTGCAAAGATGCTAGTTAACGTTAGTTCACAGTGCTGATTCAGTTGAAGATGGAACTTTAAATGCCATGGTTATGATATCAATTTATTCTACTTTTGTTATCATTGTGTACCTGTTAAAGGCAGACAAAGCGAATAGCTTGTCAGTGACCCATTCTGAAAAAACAGCACTCGACGGTGAGTTATGATTCGGTGAATTTCAAAGCTATGTAATTACATGCTTTTCACAACCACTGGGAACTGTGCTCTGTCTCCCTTTAGTGATCTTAAAAAGACAAAGGCACATGTGGGCTCTCTCGATTACCATTCAACCAGCTTCATGATTCAAAACAAAACAAAGTAACACCTTTACAGGTTCACAACCTGTTGAATAACTACAGTGTTTATGTGAGAACAATTGAAACTATCATTTTAAAGAATAAGAACAAATGCAGAACAAAAACATTTTTAAAAATGTGACCAATGCCAATCAGGATCTCTGACGTTGAGATTCCAAACACAAAATCATTTGCTGTCTGTAGAGTTTGTGTCCACTCTGTACTTCATTGCCCTGGGCTCAAATGAGCACGTAGAAGAACAACATCAAAGCTGCTGCCTGCAAGCAAAGCATTTTATTTTCCTTTCCTTTTGATCTGAAGTAGAAGGCTAAGTAGTGCTCCGGCCTAACTGTGTAATTCAAATTCATACATGCTGGTGTTTAAAAATAACAAATACTTCGGTTCTATTGGTATTCTTAGTAGAAGGGAAAGACAACTTCAAAGTGAATGGCACCACACTTAAATTAATGCAGGGGCTAGTTGGAGACTTTAGGGGATGAAACCTTACATTTGGAGATTTTTCAGGGAGTAAATCATGACGTAATGTTTTTATCTGGTTAATGATTTATTGCAACAAGAAAAAAAAGCCATTCGGCCATATGACCATAAGTCTTTAAGCCATATGGGTGGTAACTTCTAATGATCACAATAATATTTGAAAGGAGACTTACAATTCAAAAAGCATAAAAATAATTCAGATTTAGACAACTTTAGTAATCCCAGAAGGCAATTCATCTTCACAGCCTACCGAGTCATCGAAAGAAGCCAAGACAATATGAAGGAAACAAACACAGTCAGACAATTACATTCACATGTCAGCAACAACATTTCAACAGACGAACAGGTCACCCAAATGACATGAGAAATCTAGAAATTCATAAATACAATGCCAGAAATGTATCTAATAAATACATACCTGAATTGACCTGACAGGTTACCTAAGAGTATAGTAGCAGTCCATACAATTGTTCAGCATTCAACAGGCTGATGGCTGAAGGGATGACAGTGTCTGAGTCTCTTTATTAACCAATCATTTCATGTTAAATGTAGTAAAATCACCTTTCAAATGAAAGGGTCATTTGAAGAGAAAACCCACAGAGAATTATAATTCAGTACTGCAGTGTCACAAAGCCTTCAGGGCTGCATTTTCTGGTCATTCTTGTTTTGTGGCATTTTTGTAACACTCATTCCCTTCATTTCAACAACCCCCTCTCCCCTACAAGCAAGCAGCTGTTTTCAGTTAACAAGCACAAATCCCATTATTAACAACCCGTCCAGGACTAAACATAATAGCGGACATGAAAGGAAACAAAGGGGACTACCTCGGAAGAACCTAGGAAGTGTGATCACCGGAAAAAGAAAGAAAATCAGTACAGCATTCATATCAACCATTTTGAATTCATTCTTATCATTTTAGAGTTTTATATATATATATATATATTAATGCAATAATATGAAGGGTTTGTATATGAAGGTTAATGCTGGGTAAGTTCTTGTGATGTTTTTAATTGAGGGAGCAGTATATATACCGTAGTGGGTATTAGCTGAAAGTTAGTTCCAGGGTGGATGAGGGCATCAGGGCTGGTTCACGCCAGACTTGAGGGACGGAGGGCATTTTCTCAAACAGAGTTTAGTCAGAGAGTCAGTAGGCTAGCCACCCTGCTTTGTTGTGTTACCAGTGAAAAAAAGAAAAAAGAAAAAAAAGCCTTGGGTTAGCTGCTGCTTTGGCAAGGGAAAAAAAACTGGGGTCAGTTCAGCTAGCTCATGTACCTCGCCTCTTCTCCGTTCGTCCATAGCTTCCATGTCTGGCTACCCTGAAACGTTACATTATGTATAAAAATAATAAACTGCCAGGATGATTTGTGATTAATGGAGAAGGGTTCGGAATAAATAAGTTAGCACTTCCTCCCACTT